CTCCACACCCCCACGTCAGCCCTCCCCACCACCACAGCCCTCCACACCACCACTTCAGCCCTCCACACCCCCACTTCAGCCCTCCACACCACCACTTCAGCCCTCCACACCCCCACTTCAGCCCTCCACCCCCCACTTCAACCCTTCATTCCCCTATATTTCTGAAGACAGCTATTGAACCATCATAATTTATATATGCATTTTGTCTTAAGAATGACAACAAATTTTAATGTAGTGTGACTGATACTGGCCAACTAATTTATATTTTCATTACTGTGTTGTAATGTTAATGTTGCATGTTGTTACACATTGACATTTAAAAACTTAAGTGAATGCCCATAACTTGTAGCATAAATGTTCTGTCATTGAATAATACACACGATGGGAGAGCAATATTTTAAAAAGTTTTCCTTCTTATATGCTCACCCACTCACTCCTAGCTTATGGATGCATTGCAAATGCTTTCTTTCAGCACTTATTAAACACACCAACCAACCAAAATCTCCTAATCTCCATATCACATTTGAAACACACATATTTTTAATATTTGATTGAAGAAGAAAAGAAAGTCTGTTTTGCTTATATGACAGACCTGCTCTGCCATCCATCTTCATTAGATTATGTCTCTTGACAATTTCTTCTACAGACCGACGACAATGAGAAGCCTGGCCAGGCAACTCAGTTCACCGTGTTAGATATCCAAGAAGTCCTGGCTGGATGTGAGCCTCTCACCGGTAACACTCCCGATCAAGAATACTGGGAGGTGTTCAGTAGCCGGGAGGAGGAGCCTGGAGTAAGGTGATAGTGGCGGTGGGGAGGAGTCCTATGTTTGGGGAAGGTGTCAGATACTTTGGGAGGCAAAAAATGTTAGGGGAGTATCTGTATGTTTGAGTTGTATTTAAAAGAGGGGGGGGGGGTCAACCTGGTGGTGATGTTATACTTAGGGTTGATTAAATAAACCTGGTTTATGATCTTGAAATAAGTAATTATTGTAATAAATAGGTGATCTGAGAGAAGTATTGAGCTGTGTTGTCACACAATAATGGTGGATAGATCAGTAGGTGTGATTTGTGTCATGGATTCAGCTAAAAATCAGTGTGTGAAGAGTGATATTATCCAAGTGGTATACCCTGATATTACAGGTGGCTTTTTGAGATTAGAAAATTGACACCGAATATCATTAACAAGATGTGTAAATTATTTAAAATGCGTCATATTGATACCAAACATTAACAAGATTTGTGTCATATTAATTATTTTAAAAATGCATCATGTATTTTGATGATTTTTGTGTGGTGCATTGATTATCTTGGTTGCCTTGGGATACGTTTAATTTTATGTAATTAAAGGAGTAATTTTAAAATGTTTATTTTCCTTCATTATCTGGATAACACCCAAACAGACAATATTAATATATTTTGATAAACTCAGGTATTATTAGAATGTCCCGCTGTCCAGATCCATATTTGATGAGTTGGTAATTTTGTGCTGAAAGGTTTTTGGAATAGGATTTCAATGAAAATCTGGAACATTAGATCTTTTAAAACTTATTTTGTTGAATAACAGGAAATATCACTGGATATTTGCCTAGATAATTTATTGCATTTAAATGCCAGATTAAACACACTGCAACAGAAGTATTTCATCAATTAGGGCAATTTATTAAAAAGGATTGTGGATATTTACAAATTTGAATCTCATGTCCAAATAATCCCACTGCTAATAAAAATGAAAAGTTGAATATATTTTATGTTGTTTTGGGCTTAGATAACCAATCTTAGGAAATATTTACAAAATGAACTGTTGTTATTGGAAGCAAATTAAATTTATGATATTTTATAATTGTTTAGATAAGAAAAGAAATTTCATGTCATTTCTGTTCCTTTGCTGTTCAATTTAAAAATTTTAAAAGTGTGCTACAATTGCCAGAGCTGGACACATTTTAAGCTACGGTAAAAACTGTTAACCTGTTATTCATTTTGTTGCAAAAACAAATATTATAATTTTTTTAAAGATATAATTAAATCTAGTAATATGGATGCTCAGTTAATTTCAATGTATTATAATTATTTTAATATAAGATTTAGTATATTATTTTTATGAAAATTCTGATTTATCATATCAGTATGATAGCAATACTGTTTTTTTTTTACCCACTTAAAATATGTGTCTGACATTCTCTCAAACCAGCAATAACATGAAAACATGACACACACCATTTCTACTGTGTGCCAAAAAATGAAATGACAATTTAAAATGAAGATACATTTGAAAATACCAGCAGAAAAGAACACAAATGTATTTGAACTTTTATTTAACTGAACAGAAGATACTTTGTACACTTACACAGATTTAATGTATACCTCTGATTGGTGTTTTTATTGTACAAAAAAATGATTATATAAACATGATTAAACAGAATTCTCAAGGTCATTAAAAGTTTGATTTGTTTCATTTGGGAGAAAATGATAAATAATACCTAAATTAATATATAAAATAATAATTAAAAATAATATCTAAATTAATATATAAAATATTACCTAAAATAATATCTAAAATGCCGTTTACACAGGACATGAAAAGTTGACTAATAAATAGATAATAAAATTAAAGCTGTCCATCATTGGAAGTGTTTCTTTTTTCACAGGATAAATAAAATAGTTAATATTTACCAGTATGGAGAAAGCGCAGCTAAGCCAACATAATTAATTTCATGATATAAAAAGCAAAACACAAACAAAAATTCACACCATTTGGGAAAAAAACTTTTGCTAACATCAGCTGTGTGCTATGCATATTTTTGTATATTTTTTTATATATCTATCTGCATTTGTAAATATTACATCAACTGAAATTGAAATATGATTACTAAGTTACTGTAAGATTTCATAATGCAGAACTTGCAGTACACAGGAATTAATAGTGATTAGCTTTAAAGGGAGGTTAATAATAGAATGAATTTGATTCAGATTTGCTTTATAAAGAGAGGTTTACAATGGAGTTAATGGGGATTTTGTTTTAGGTGAGGACACTTGATTACATCTATTTATCATTGTTTAAAATAGGCATTATAAATATGATTGCTAATCAGTACTTTGATTCAGTGTGTATATTATATATGGGGAAAATGGGATATTTAATGGTAAAATTTAACTGTAGCTGAGAAGATGAATGAATAATTGTGTTACATAATATTAAGAAATGTTGCTACATTGATAAAATATATATATTTTCAATTGGTGAAAACAATAATTAAAATGAAATATATTAGCAGTTAATAGGTCTTATTACTTATATTGAATATAATATATATTGAATAACAATAATAAAATGAAAAACTTTGTCAACTTAAAATGAGGATTATAGGTATATTTAACTTTCTTTAAAGAACTATAGAGAAACAATAAATAAAACCAAATTTATAGGCTGGATAGACACATATTAATATGTAAAGCTATTAGGAATGATGTATATAAACAAAATTCACACGGTAGCAAATCCAAAGAAAAAGAGCAAAGTCCCCCATATTTTATTAATAACTGTTTGCACTCGTGCTTCAGATGCCAATGAATAGATTTTTGGAAGTTAAAAAAGACTAAGCATAATCTCATATCACATGTTTTCTCTCATGGAGATAAAAATTAGAGGAGCATTTATAAAAAAATATATATTTACCAACTCTCAAGTCTCTTGATTTCAAGAAAAAAAAAATGAATTTTTTTTTTTTTAAATTGAAAAGAAGCTACCTGTGCAATGAAAATGTTATTTCTAGAATAAAATGTTTTTAAGAGATCTACTTATATATATATGTGCCATGTATATCATTTGTCTTAATATAAATTATAAACAATTCAAATAATGCCTTTATGCTATAAACTTCTATTCATAAGCTTAAAAAGTACCAAAAAATTGTATTAATTTGGTTTAAAATGAAAGCCTCTTTAAAAGATACGGTATGTCAAAGACTAAAGGAATGTCATGGATACTTCTAATAAAAATAGTCTGTAGACCCAACAGTTGCCTAAGGCTCTCGTAAACATTTATACAACTCGCTAACCCTTATTCACAGCTTGGAGGGATTTACAGAACACCATGACCTAATACATGATCAACACAGTTGATTCAGATAAGCCTAATGTTGGCCGTTAGGGTACAGCAGTTGCAATTTTTGAAAGACATGATAAACTGGGATCAGCAACATCAACCAATTAACACTTTCAGCATTTCTACAACTAAAAAATAAAGGGCAATGACGAACAAGAAAGTTTGAATTGTTTCATAAATTATCAGGGTATGTGTGGGGACTAACAATGTTTTTCCCCACAATTTAAAAAAAAAATTGAATATAGGTACTTAGAAGCATTGAGAAAAATTGTGAAATGTCGATTCATTATGCATGCATACGTGATTTTCAAAAAGAACCTTTTTATTATTTAAGAATCTCTTTACATGGTAAGTTATAAAATGGACAGGAGACAATTAGAATAAAAGTTAATGATTTATGCCCCTTGAAAACATTTCTTTTAACCCAGGCTAATGAGTTAAAATAGCAAATACCATGTTTCAATCTCATGTAATCACACATAAAATCCATCTTGGCCAACACAACAAAAGCCCCAACTAAAACAACTGATGTTAAAAATTATTATTTCCAAAGTAACAAACTAAATTTACCTTATGCTGGTGAATTCTTTTAAAACAAACATCCATAAAACGTGAAAACATTTGGAAAAAATTTACATTGTTAATAAATCCAAAGTGCTCTGATATTTTTTGGTTGGTTTTTTTTTTTAGACAGTGTTGGCAAAAATGTTTGAATTCAGTCTAGTGGAAATATTTAACAAAATTTGGTCATTACAGGCCAACAAAAACCATATACATGTACATACCCTGTATAACTGGTTAACTACTACGAGCCGCTGGTAGCGCAAATTTTTGTATCGTAGTAGATGTGACCTTAGATTTAATTCGGCCACAGCGAGTTTTTCAAATCTGGTTGCTAATCAGTAAATAAAATCATACAACACAGATACACATACAACACACAAAAACTATGTATAATGAACATGGTTTTCAAACTGATCAGATTTACCACAGCTTGGTAAATTGTGCTGCTAGGTTTGACGAGTTTTAAAATTTGTTGTGCAAATCTTTGGTTCCTATGTAAACCCTTCACTATATATAAGTGAGTCCGCCATTATTTACCGGTATTCCAGTCCAAAATTTATTTAAGAATGGCTTTCCAACATTCATTCCCAAGCAGCTTTTCATCATCATCAATCATAAAAAGGTTGATAGCATATGACAATTTTACAAAATTATGCAAACCTTAAAAAAAAACTGTGCTGTTCATATATGGTTTCATCTGATAATAAAAAATGAATTCTGTCTGGGTTTGAACACAACACAATGGCACTTATTTGTGCATCCATCACAAGTTATCTACCCTCACTGATGGCTTTATGAAACTTTCAAATTAAATAATCATTTAATTAATTACATGCCCACACATCACTTTTAAAACAAATATTTTTTAAAACACAAGTAAAAGCCAAAATTAAACAAGAAAAATTAAAAAGTACATGTCTGTTTTAAAAACATCCCTGAGCCAAAACATGGACTTGCTAGTGTTACAATTCATGTCAACAAATTATTTTTATATCAAGAATCTTGTTCTCAGAATGACTTAATCACTTCAATTCTGCACAATTTTAGAGTCTACAGAAAATATGCTTAGTGCGCACACAAAAATAAAATTTGGAAGAGTGTATAATATTTGTCATAAGTTTACCATTTAATAAGGAAGGTAATTTCTACTTTAAAAAAATGAATTCATATTTTTGGACAGAGAGTTGTGAAATAAAGAAAATGAAAGAAACAAAATAAATCTACAGCTAAAAAAAATTTGGAATACAATAACTAAAAAAAAACTGCGTTATATTAACTACAATTTACAAGAGATACATAAAAATTCATTTGATACTATTTGTAATTGTTTCAAATTTATCTATAAAATGTGTCTCATTTCATTTTTACTTTCACAAAATAATAAAAATATCAGAATTTAAGAAAGATGCAATGTCATTTATGGTCTAGAGAAAAAGAATTTGGGCAATGAGAAATATCAATCTTTGAGTGCAAAAATGGATTTCTATGTAACTAGAGTATAAAAAAAAAACTACTTAATGACTAGAGGAGAGCACAGATACCAAGAAGAGCAAGACACGAAGTTGAAATAGTAAAATTTCTGACTTCAAGCCGTGAATTCACAACATTCCTGGGTCATGTCGACACTGCAGCATTGTGAGGATGCAGTATTGGTTCATTCTCATCATCAACAACTTTTGCATTGTGGCACTGAAAAAAAAAATATATTGCTTTGTGAAATATTTTATTATTATAGTATAAAGCGTGGACTGGCTCACTGAGATTTCCCCTTATTATTTGATTCTTTTAATTTATTGGTCACATTATTCATTTTCTCCCATGCTGCTGCTCTTCAAACCCTTGCACAATCTACCCCCATACACTTTTTTATCATTCCACCCTTGTTCTAGTCTCACTCAAATAACTGTTACACACTAACTTACTGCCTTCACTAGACCCTAACCCAATAATTTTCTGCCCACTTGACACATTCTTCAAACACATCCCATGAACTCAGTTGCGACAAACATGAGAGATGATGCTTGAATTTATTGTGCACTTTAACATGGGAGATGACTTTTGAGTTCAGTGTGCACTCTAACATGGGAGATGACTTTTGAGTTCAGTGTGCACTTTAACATGGGAGACGACCTGTGAGTTCAGTGTGCACTTTAACATGGGAGATGACTTTTGAGTTCAGTGTGCACTTTAACATGGGAGATGACCTGTGAGTTCACTGTGCACTTTAACATGGGAGATGACTTTTGAGTTCAGTGTGCACTTTAACATGGGAGATGACCTATGAGTTCACTGTGCACTTTAACATGGGAGATGACCTGTGAGTTCACTGTGCACTTTAACATGGGAGATGACTTTTGAGCTCAGTGTGTACTTTAGCATGGGTAATGACTTTTGAGTTCAGAGATCACTGTAACATTTTCTTAGTTATATTGTTATGCATCTGTGTTGTTATTTTATTAATGGCAACATTTTTTAATATTAAGTTCAAAATTAATTAAGACTAGCGAGGGAGTAGGACTCCTTTAACCCTTTCAAACCAGGGCACTCAGAAATGTTATTTATTGAAATCCCAGCCACAGACAAACAATGCCACATTTACCGTAAATAATAGATAGGTTAAGAAAATAATCTAGAATAAATCTATTGTGTGATATAATTATATGAAATATAGTGAAAAAACAATTCATAGCTGGTTGCTGTAAATGTTGTATTCTATTACTTTCTAGTTACTGTATTTTATTGTGTAAATTCTTAAATGTCAAACTACAACAAAGTACTTGACTACTCATGATTATAACCATAAAAATAATAATTCTACTGTGAACTATAAAAATAATGAATGAATGCTCCTTGCCAGAAGAGGAAAATAAAATAGCCTCCCTTGGTATTGCACCTTGAAAATTTCCCTTTAATTTATATAACAATGTTTAAACAGCATATCGGATGGTTGGATTTGGGCCTTACAGAATTGAATCTGTCTCAGCCAGATCTGGTTTAAATTGGGGCTAAATTTTCGTTAGAACCCAACTAATTTACACTAGTGACTTTTTTCATAGATCTGCAAAATTTTTTAATTTTGAAGTAATTAATAAGTTTAAATGCTTTTTGTTTGGGGATAAAATAAGTAATAAAAGAAATCAGTTCAGAAATTTCTTAGATAAACCTTAGCTTTCCCATGACAACGTTCCATATGTTAATTTCTGTACCGTTGGGATACCCATTTGCATGGTTTTTTTCCTTTGGAACACTAATGTTTACATAATTACTAGAATATACAGCATTTAATTGAATATTTTGTAATAGTTAATGTTAACATAAACTTTAGTAACTCTTACGAAACATTTGTGATTCACCATGATCTGTAACAGACTCTGGAACCTAATTGTAAATGCTCAAGGAATTGCTGTACTTATGAAGAATGGTCTTGAAAATTTTTATCATTCAACAATTTATCTTACAGTCAAAAAGTATAAGAAGGCCAGAGCCAAAGTAGTATAAATGTCTTTAAATTAAAATTTCATAATTTTCAGTGGAAAAGAATTTCTTAGTTATATTTATCCACATTAGTTGATGATTTCTTAAAAATGTGTACCGTTTTGAGTTTGGTTGCCACCAGCACTAGAATCACACAAAGGATCATGACAGCACCCAGGGCAATGAGGCCAAACTTGACAGCTTTCGTGAGGGTTATTTTGTCAACCACTTGAGATTTGAAATCACCAGCATCTTGGTCAGATATCAGGGCGCTCTAAACCAAAAAATGGTGTAATGTTTCAGTCAATGGTCATGCTCTATTGAAGGTGAACTCAGTAATTTATAGAAAGAAATTAAATTTCTATATTTTTAAAACCTGGTCGAGGATCTGCTAGTGATCACAAAGGAGCAGTATATAAAAATACTTTTCAAAATTCTCTTGCAGTAAAGCATGAGACCATACGATTATATCCAGCATCAGTGAAGTAGCCCATTGCCAGCAGCACTTAATGAGAACAGTCCACTTGATAACAATAGTCTTCAGTCACACTGACAGCCTTGTCTTATCAACTCAAACACAAATTCTTCCCATAATAAGAGTGGTCATTGGCCATATAAAAAACACAATTTCAGTAGCTATTTCTTAAAGTTAGAGGGCCTGTCATTGATCTACTTACTTCATTCAACCACATGACTGGCATGAAAATAGGCTTTTTGATGTTCTTCAGATCACTGCAGATATGACATGAGAGAACACAAGTGAATGTGATGGACTTCAACTAGATGAACTATTTGTGGCTGTAGTGGGTGTTGATGCCTATACCCCATTGGTGACCTGGAAGAAGATGCACCAGTGACTGCACACCACCCCCTGGTATACTTGAAAATATCTTTATGAGGCACTACTTAACTCGTATGTTTTAGTTTGTTGCTGATGACATGTGTCATGGAAATTGGTGTAGGAAATGTCATGGGGATGCATGGGTCTGAAACATTTTAGGTTTTTGCTGATGACATGTGACATTGGTGTGGGAAATGTCATTGTGATGCATGGGTCTGAAACATTTTAGGTTTTTGCTGATGACATGTGACATTGGTGTGGGAAATGTCATGGTGATGCCTTTGTCTGAAACGTTTTAGGTTGTTGCTGATGATGCATGACATTGGTGTGGGAAATGTCATGGTGATGCATGGGTCTGAAACATTTTAGGTTGTTGCTGATGACATGTGAAATTTGTGTGGGAAATGTCATGTTGATGCATGGAACTTCACCAAAAAATCACACACACTACAACAAATATCAGGTTATTTATAGGCCAAGATGAACCTACTCAAAGCCCTCAATAAATTCCAAGTAGGTGTTGATCTGAAGCCTTTTACCCACACTCATGGCAACACCAGTCATCTGTAAAATAAATAGGTGCAATTGTCAAGGCACAGGTGTAAAGATATATACTTGAAATTGAGTCCCACATTAGATACTTTAAAATATCATTTATATTAGATACTTTTTAATATTATTTTTATTAGATACTTTTAGATATTATTTATATTTTAGATACTTTTAGATATTATTTATATTAGATACTTTTAGATATTATTCACAAAATAAAATTAAATGTTCCCAGAATATTATTGTCCACGGAGTTGGGATCAAGTTAAAAAATCTGTGCAAGGATTTTCAGATTTTTTAAAACACAACTCACCTCTATAAGTCATGAGTTAAATGACAAGGTTTTAACATTTTTTATATTTTTATTTTTATTATTATCTAACAGCACACTTAAACAAGTCACTAACAAAATTTCTGACAAAAACGTCATTCAGGTATCAACCAAAACATCAGCTGTTTGTGTGAGCCAAATTCTTATTGCTGTTGGATAAAGTGGATATAGGTTCCATATAACTTTGTAAGTCGAATGCCAGCAATTCTCATTTACTGATTAATATGTTATAAAAAAAGTATTGCGCTAAAACAACCCATTCATGATGACCCAGTTGAAAACCACCAAATTAAATAAATAGCAATGACATAATGAGAGGAAACGAACATTACAAAAAATAATAGTTAAATTAACTAGATTGATTGTTTCGCAGGGTTTTCCCAAGTCCTTGCTTTAGTGTGTCAGGAATAACCGGAATACAACTGAGAGGCATAATGAGGAAAGATGCAGTCTTCCTTAATTTCATTAGATTAGAGTAAGTGATTGAGTTACGCAAAATTAAAACACTCTGTATCATGGATATCACTTTGAACTCTCTTTGTTCAAACTTTTATTCCCCAAAACTTTGTTAGGGTGCAATCTTTGATGAAGACTCAACACAAATTTGACAACCTGCTCTGTCTAACAGATACCATACTCACGGGCTCTATGTCAATGTAACTCTGATGTTCGTCCCTGTTGGGTCTCAGGCCCCTGATGGCATTGACCGTCTCCGGGTCGCACCCGAGGAAGTGCGGCATTGACATTATGACGGGAGCCCCAGTCCGACAGACACTGACGTTGAGGAGCCCAGATGGGAGGCAGTTGCCGGAGGGTGTGCAGAAGCCAGCGTTGTAGGGGTTGGTCGATACATTCCCAAACATGATGTCAGGTGCAACAAACCTGGCCAGGTCAATGCTCTTGACACTCACACCTTTGGTATAGGTCATGCCCAAAGACCTGCAAAGATATGAGGCATTCAAGTTGCAATGTAAATAAAACAAGAATTTTAACACAAAAATATACATGTCATTTTTTAAGTTCTCATAAAAATTAATCAAGACTTCTTTAGAGGGTAATTGGAACAATTTCTTTTTTAAAAAATCTAAAAAAACAAAAGGACATCTAAAGAAATATTTTTTAAGACAGAATATTGCTTAAAATTCTTACAGCTAAAATCTTCTTGATCTACAAATTAAGGGATTTGCAAATTTTTCGTTCCATATAACTGTACCAAGAGATATGTTTTTTATGGAACTGCCATTTGTATGCTAGGAAAAATTCATTCAGAGATGCTAGTGGTAAATATTTGTGTTTTTTTTTATATAATTTCCATTGCAAATTGTAGAAATTGGGTAAATTGTAGAAAATGATTGCTTAAAATGTATAGAAAAAATATACTGTTGTTATTTAGCAGCTGAATGACCCTTGCTTATCATTTGTGCAAGTATTTTTTTATTGTTATCAAAGATTGCTTTTGTTGTTGATGTTTACTGTAGCATCAATGATTGTTTTTATTGTTATTTACTACTGTTTTTTTCATAAAGCAGGTCCAATAAGCAAATTTAATTTTTAAAATACTTTTTAAAATAGCACATAAAAAAATGTTCTCAAGTTTTTATACTTTTTATACAAAGATTTACTTTGAATTATTTTTCTTTAATAGTGCTACAACTCTGTGAATTACTCACCTACAGAGATCAGAGGAGAAGAGATATTTTGTGGCCTTCAAGTCGATGAATGGTGGGTAAATGGTCCCATCTGCCGTAAAGAAATCATTTTTTTTTTTTTTAAATTTTAAATGTGTGCAACCAGCACCAAAAAAAAACTATAACATGTACCAAATTTTTTGTAACTTCTAGAAAATAAAATATAACACACAAGATACACACTGGTGCTGGTACTGGCACTTATTCTAAGATTAAATTTATGTATTTTATTCACACAAATACATTTTTTAAAATGCATTTAAAATTTCAATTCTCATGATTATTTTTGTTTTTGTAAAGACCCAAAATTATGTTCCATTCCTTTAGTTAATGGTTATTTTTATTATATAATTGTAAGAACTGAGTCTGGCAACTATAAATTACTGGTAAGATGATAGATATTTTTGTGAATTCAAACAATTTTTAAAAACAGGCCTAGTTGGCTGCTGTCTTTCAACTTAGGTGGTTGAAGATTCTTACTCCTTAGTGTTCACTTCCTCCCTTTAAAATATGCCCTACTTTGCTAAGTGCCCTATGGCTGAGGACGACCTCAGAGAAATGGTAAAGAGGCAGCCAATCTTAGCATTGCAACAGAGGGCCAGCATCACTACCTCTTGGTGAAGAGGCAGCCAATCTTACCATTGCAACAGAGGGCCAGCTTCACTACCTATTGGTGAAGAGGCAGCCAATCTTACCATTGCAACAGAGGGCCAGCTTCTAAACTTTCAAGTTTGTAAATCACTGTGACAAGCAATACATCATCACAGACTAACCTGTTCCATTGATCATGTTGGCGGAGTCATTGGTCCAATAATTTAGCTCCCTTGAAATGAATAAAAAAGTACAGATACGGAGACAAGAAATATACAGATATTAAGACATGAAATAAAAAGAAATTGAGACATGAAATATACAGACATTGAGATGTGAAATATAAAGATACTGCAAAAAAATATACAGTTACTTAGACATGAAATATACAGACACTGAGACATGAAATATAACGACACTGAGATGTGAAATATATAGATATTGAAAGAAAAATACAGATACAGAGACAAGAAATATACAGATACTGAGACATGAGATATACAGATACTGAGTCATGAAACATAGCACATAACCCTTGAAATTTACAGATGAGACTTGAAAGATACAGATAATGATACATAAAATACATAGATAATGAGACATGAAATATACAGATATGAGATATTTGTTTTTCTTATCAACAAGTAAAAATTTATTTGAAGATTCTTAAAATCCAAAATCTGAAACAATTTTAAAAGTTCAGCAGAAATGTGAACACACAAAAAAAACTGAGTTAAAAACGTACGTTTGACCATTCCAGGAAACAATATTCCCAAAGTTGTCAAGATCTTTCATCCCCGAGTATATCTGGTACAGGCCATCATTGGAGTTGTTTTGCTGGGAAGACGGTGATTAATGGTGTCATAAGAAATTCGTCAAACGGACATTATTTTTTATGGTAAGAGAGTCAACTATCAGTTTTGACACAGAAAACGTTGTCGGCGTGTTTTCAAAGATTGTATTTTTACTCCATGTAGAAAATAAAACACTGTTAATAAAGAAATTAGGGACTGGAGTTGAAGGGATCTGGCATTGGCCACACATTGACCTCAGGTTAGATACAGGAGGATCAACAAAAAGCTGCTCACTCTGTGTAAATGAGTTAATCAGCTTTATTTCACCATCAGAATATGAACAACATTAACTAAATTATAAAACTAAACAAGTCTCTTTAGACATATGTGATTTAAAGCAAAGTGGCGTAACTAGAATTACTGTCGCCCAGAGCAGGCAAGATTTTTGCCCCCTCCCCAAAGAAAAAAGCACTGCATGAGGCGAAAAATGCTGCGGCTCCCTATAAAGATAAAAGTGCCACTCGGGTTGGACCACCATCCTCTGCCCCCCCCCTCCTTTTCCTAAGCCAATGTTGGGGCACCATGAGCCTAAGTCCAGATTAACTTACATTATAAAACAAACCAAACATATCTGAGAAGTTCAGATGTATTTTGAATTCCGCTGCTGCTTTCTTGGCTGCCTTCAGCAAGGGATCCTCATAGCCCCACATCAGGTCATGGACTGAGAGCTCTTGTATCAAGTTCTCGCCTGTCTCTTTAAGGATAAGATTGACAAACCACTTGATGGCCTGGAGTTCCCACTTCAACATCTCCATAATTGTCTACAGAGAATATTTTAACAAACTTTTATAGCTGTCAAGATTAATAAGACAAAAACAATTGGTGTTAGTAAAAAAATGTATGAAAGGTTTAATTATTTGAAGAAAATTTTAAATTGTATTTTGTCTTCAAATAATTAATACAATTTAAAAGTTTCGGCCAACGCCTTCATCTGTACAACAGAATAACAAAATCATTAGTTCCAATTAAATTTTACGCAATATATATATATAATATATCCTACTTAAATTTAGATGTTATTTGTTACTATTTCAACAAATACATAAATTTCAGGGTTATGATTTTTTCAAGAAATATTGTTGCTAGTTTGCTTTTGTTGTTGTTTTTTTGTTAAATTTTTTAGGAGCTACTCATTTGGACCACATAAGCAATTTTAGCGAAAAACTTAAAATATTAAATTTATCACAGTGAAATGCAGTTAACTTTGAATTTTCAACAATTGATTGCTAGATTTCTTTTAAAAGCATAAAATAAACAGTACATGATTCATTTTCACTTGACAGGATTTTTTTTTTTAACTTTGTCATAAAGATCTAGCAACAAGTATTTTAACCCTAACACTACAGCAAACTTCTCACCAGACCAGGCAGACTTATGGTGTTGAAGGTGTCATTCTCTGAGCCCACAGACATCTCCCTGTCAAAATTAAATGAGCGGTTCTCCAAGTACGTCAGTGTGCCGTTGTCATAGTAGGTGATATTAAACTTCTCACGGTGCTCCCTGTGGGAAAGGCCGAAATAATCTCCCTTAAATTTTTACACATGTGATGATGGGCTGCAAAAGGGAATCTCCAGATACATGGGTAAGACAAAGTGTGTCAGAGCCTCTCACTGAATCTGTTGTTTTTTTGTTGGTTTTTTTTGTTGTTTTTTTTACAAGAACCAACCTTGCAACATTCCTGATTTGACAGGATTCAACATGCTATTTGAATGTCATTCTCAGTTACTTCCAATGTAATTGAAAGAAATTTCATAATGACCGGCCATTGTCCCCAAAAAGATTTGATTGCTGAACTTTAAAAAAGGGTCGTCGTTCCGTTTGTTTTTTTTAAATGTTTTCAGACTATTGACAAAATAGTGTCTTTGAAAAATCCACATGAGTTATAGATATCTGCTATCAACTAGACAAATTCTATTAAATTATGATATTTACCTGTAAGTGTAAGGTCCTTTCTGTATAACAGCTGGCTTCTCCCCCGCCAGAACTTCTAGGGGATTGACTATATCAAAGAACCAAACTTGGAAGTAAATGGGTGTCTTGGGAGACTGCCAGTTTTTGTAGGAGTCTGAGCCGGGTTTCAGTGGAAGATTCTGAACAGGGTGGAGAGAAATTTTGTAAATGATACATATTCAAGCTTATGAGAATTTTTATAATTTTTTTTTTAATTCTATGTAAAAAAAAATTCTATGCATAGAGAATTGTTTGAAATTATACTAATTCTATCAGTAGAGAATTGTTTTAAATGATAAAAATAATATTTTTAGAGAATTGTTTGGAATTATACAAATTCTGTCAGTACCGGTAGAAAATTGTTGTTTTCATGCTACAAACCCAAAGATATGTAATTTGGTCTACCCAAGTGGGGTTTTTTAAAGTTAAATTTTATATAAACAAAAATAGGTGGAGATTTTCAAAATTATGATTCAGTCATGTTCAAGTTTTACAATATTAAACTTCAGTGTCAATTTAAGATTTTTAGAGTCATAAATCAATTAAAAAGCCAGGGAAGAACAAAAAAATTATAGTAATAAAATTTCCATGGTCCCTTTAAAAACTAGTTTTGTGCACATTATGATTTTAATACAATAAGTAATTATAGAGCGTTCAGTGTCATTAAAGTTAAAGAGGATCTAATGACAGTAATGAACATAGAACTTACATCATCAATCTCTGAATGTGCAAGTTCATCAAACACATGAATGAGAACACAGCCAGTGACTAGAAATGCCACGCCCAACAGACCACACAAAATCAGCCCCACAGACTTCTTGGATGCCATCCTGGGGGATTTTCTTGTTCTCTCTTTCAGCTGTGGTACATATTAGAGTAGCGGAACACAGCTACTTATCTCTTTCAAACAGGACTTTTCTTTCAACAACTGAAATAATAGCAGAATTTGTTTATTTTAATACATACATTTAAACTACATCACAGTTTTAAATACAGTTAAATACAGGAACCATCAGATGTTAAGATATGATGGTAAATTCTTACTCATTGAAAAACACATGAATTTCTATATCTTTGGTACCAGGTATTTACTTTGAGATTTGAGGGAACGGATTCACCCTAATTGAGTTGATCTATCAGGTATGATAAGTAACAGTGATTTATTGAGTAGGATGGATCCTCCAAAAAATTTGAGTTTTACTAATGGAAATATGGTATATAACTTGAGTTCTTAGTGAGTTCATTTAGTCTGTGTTTAAAGGAAATGATGAATTCTCACACCAGCAGGTAATACTAAAGTTCTTATAGGCTTCAAACTATAGAATAGTTAAATAATTATTTTTTGTTGTTACTTTTTTATTTTATTTTATATTTAGCTAAAATAGTCTTTGAAGGACTTTCTTAGATTCTGGCTTAATACTAAATATAAATAAATCTAGCTTAGGAAAAGGGATTTCGCCACAGGCTGCACTTTTTATATATAAATATATATATAAAGAGGAGTGGCATTTTCAGATTCCTGCAGAGTCTTTTGGTGTTGGAAGGGCGGTATCACAAATATTGGTCCTCTGCAAGCAGAAATAACCCTAAGTAAGCCTCTGTAAAAATTACCATTTATCATCACAGGGTCCATCCGACTCATATAAAACTAGTACAAATATGTTTAATAAATTTAGGTGATCGACTTAGTTTATTTATTTTTAAATTTCAATTTTTTTTTATGTTTAATGTTACTACAGTAGAGTTATCTTTTTAGAGCTAGATTTTTATTTTATTTAATCCTGATTATTTTTTATAAGAATTTTTGTACTGGCCACAAAAGTAGATCCACAAGTAATGAAGATGACGATCCTAATACAAGTAAGAACAAGAATACAAATAAAAACAAAAAAAAAAAAAAAAAAAAAAAGGAAGAAAGTAGAGACATCAAGTTAAGAAAAATCCATTCGTCTTATGCATCACTGGGACTGAAAGCTGGGTTGGAAAAACCAAGTTTTTAGTTAATTGTCCTGTCTTGTCATTCAAGTTCAGCCTATCTTGTTCTAAATACATTTTTTTCCTGAGGTTTGAAGCAGTCTCTACTATATTACAATTTTGTATTTTGGTTTATACAAAAGCTTTGGCTGAATGTATAGAGTATGACACTTGCATTTTTAAACTATGCATCTACTATATAAAGCTCAGAGTGACTATGTTTGTTTGTAGATAGGTTGATTGATCACAAGAAAACCTAAAAATGGATCAAAATCGAACTTGACGTGGTCATTCTTCCTGACTTAGAGATGGTTCTTGGAAAGTTGGGTCATAATCCCCTTATCCCAAAAGTTATAATTTTAACGATCATAAAATTAAAGGGTAAAGGGTAAAATATAAATTATTTTCATATCGATGGCTTCCAGCGATGATCAAGTTAAGTTATTTTTGGCGAAGGCATTTTTAATAAGCTTTTATTCAGAACTGTGTGCTTTCAAACATCTATTAATGGAAGGTTTTCTGTGTGCTTTTTTTTTTTGGTGCATGCATTTTAAATAAAGCTTTAATCTATGTGCTTTCACAAATATCACATAGTTCAGGGGTGAGCATAAAGGAAGCTTTTGGTTACCTAGGGTTTCACAGTCATGGGTGTGTTTTTATTAATTTTTATTACCAACTTTATTTTATAGTAATTGTGCGTGTGGAAGGGAGAATCATAAGTTTGTGCTTTAGCCCCTTATCAGCATTTAGTAAAACAACATCCCCTGATTGGGTGAGTGCATTTAATTAGCAACAACTCAAAGGTGTTGGTATACACTGAAAATTTTCAGTTTCTAGTAGATTTCACTTTTTTAATTTAAGTTAATTCATTCAGTAAAAGAGTCGTTTTTTACAAATTATTTGAAGGTTTTTAAATAAATATAGAATTTTTTAGCAAGTTATATTTCTTCCATGTAGGTATAAAAATTATGAAAATGTCAATGGGATCTATAAATTTATGGAAATTTTAGTTAAGTTTCATATATGTCTACACTTTTCCCTGGAATTTCCCTGATATTGGTTAATATATCTTTATTTTTAATGTTTCTTGAAGCTTTTATTCTGTCAAAACTTAGCTATGAATAAAAGTCTCGAGAGAAAATTAATCACCTGGAAGATGAGATGTTTGAGTCCAGCTGCTGGCAAAACAAGAAGGTTCCCCATTTTGAACCAGGAAATAAGACAAATGGTTGGTGCAAACCCCATCAGCCAGTGTGTGTCTCAACAAAAAAATTAATTATTTTGGACACCTGGTCAGAATGCCTGTCAACAAACCTGCATTGCATGCGTGCAATGGCAGGCAATGGCAGGCACTTCGGTTTTAGGAATACTAAATAACCCCAAATGGGCCCCACATTCAATGTTTGCAAGTGTTATAAAATCCTAGCCTTTTATAGGAAAAAATTTAAATTTTAATAGTTACTTTAGAGAAGTGCTTTTGATCACATGTTCCCTCATAATGCTTTGTGGGATTTTTTCCATGGGTATATTGACCAGTTCTAAAAAAAATTGGTCATTGTATTTTATTTTTCAAGGAAACTAGATGAGATTAACAACCTCATTTAAATTTTTTTTTCATTTTAATGAAGAGTATAAATCCTAGTGTTCTATGAGTTGATGGTTGGCAATATCATATGCCTGCTGATTTTTTATAATACATTTAGAAAAATTAACTACTGCTCTAACTGAAGGTCTTTGAAATTAGTTTCTTGACCACGTACTTTAAGATTCAAAATTACACAAAGAATAAATACACTGAAAAGAAGAATACGAAAACAAGTAAACAGAGAAAGAGTATGCAAAGGACAAGTACACAATAACAAGTACACAAAGAACAAGTACAGAAAGAACAAGTGCACCAAGAACAAGAACACAAAGAAGAAGTACACAAAGAAGAAGTACACAAAGAATAAGAACACAAAGAACAAGTACACAAAGAACAAGTACACAAAGAACAAGTATATAAAGAACAAGTATGCAACACTCACGTCAACCAGACAACACAGACCAGCAGATGTGTTGTATTTCCACTAAGAGAAGATAGAACTGCATGTGCACAAGGGCTAATCAATGAGTTATAACTGAAGTATACTTGTTATAATAATCTCTGCCAAACACATTGCAAGTTTTTTTTTAATGATAAGTTTGTGGCAGCTGTGCATAAAAATTTGTTTGACCAAGATTACAGCAAGGGGGAAAAAACGCATTATCAGATATGAGATTTTTAGGAATTGAGTTCTAGGACCCACATTTTTTTTTTTTAAGTAGAGAAAAATGCATCTTTTAAAATGTCTTTTACTTAATGTTTAATTTTTATGTTAAAATTAGTTATCTCATTACAGTTTCAGAAAATGCCACTGAATTAATTTGGACACTAAAATACTGCAGTGAAGTAGTTATGAGGTGAAATGTGAGCGATTTACTTACTAAGGCATGAGACATGAGATAAAATACAAATATGGATTTATAGAAGTGACATTTTAGGTCTGGCTAACAGGTGTCTAAAAAATTGTTTAAACATTAACTTAGCTCCAAGCTTGATTTGATGGTTTTTAAAACAGGTTGATTGAACTATTGAGACAACAGTCTCTCTGTGTTTATTAGTTGAGTGTAGCTTTGAGGAGGGGTGGGGGGGTGTAAAAGGGAGAGGTATTTTCATTTTACCCAAAATCATGTGGAAAGGATAATAAAACCCTTGGAGTGGTGACTCATGCCAGTAGCAAGTAAACAAAGTCATGAGATCCAAAATAACATGGGAAGTAATTCATCCCTTAATGACATGCCTAGACAAGCAATTGAAGCATTTTATATTGTAGTGAATGCATGTGATGATAAAGTGTAGGACAGTAATTACACTTAAATAAATATTAGCCTTTACTTTCCTTGAACTTTTATCAATCTGTTTTAGCGTTTATTATTAGAAATAATTTAGAAAGAAAAAAAAATCAATAAAAAATACATTATATTAATTATCATCTCTAGCTTAAATTTTTTCAAAATTAAAACTATAATTATGATGATTTTCCACATTTTTCTATAACATAAAATTGTTGCATAATTCATTCACATTGAACATTCCTTTTTGACATTTTTTGGATGCTAGAATAATAATTGAGTTATGCACCTGGTGACTATCTATGAAAGCCCTGGTACATAAGATTGCACTTTAGCTGATATTTTGATTGCCTAATCAGTAATAATAGTGTCATTATAATAATATGGTAACATTAAAAAAATCTTTGTATTAAGAGCAATTATATATCAAAAGAAGATGTTTGTATTGTATAATTGGAAACTTAGAAAACTAAAACCTTTAAAATAATTTTAGATAGGATGGAAGGTGCAATTTCCCCAAATGTATTCTGCTATAGGGAACAACTGTAATTACTCATATCATTCATACTTTGGAGAGATTTGATGACTATATATAGAGAGAAAATAAACAACCACCCTTTTTAAAAAATTTACTCCATATTCTGCTGTGTGTGCAATAAACAAAACATTTTTTTTTAAATAAACAGTGTTCTTTTATTGACAACCCAGTTATGTTCCTTTTACATCATGTCAATTATTTTACTTTTCATAATTATTTTCAATACTTAACTTTTTTTTAAAGATAAATCTTTCTAATTTAAGTGATCATGAAATTTATCCTATTCAAGAATCTAAACAAAATAGTCATCCTCCATAAATTTTTTAAGGCAATTATTAATGTGGGTGTCACCTAAATATGGAGAAATTCTTACCAATATTAGGCATTAGGGATATACATTTTATTAAAACAGGGATTTTCAGAATATCTTCTGATACTAATATTTATTGTAATGCTCATTGAAACTTTTTTTAATTAAAAAATAAATAAATTTGAGTTCAGTAATAGGCCTGCCGGTTTTAAATGTAATTTACTGGTTATTATCAACATTAATAAAATTGCAGGCACTGGTTACCTGCAATAGGTATATGGCTATTATTAGTAAGCCCCTATGCCTATATAGTTATAGGCCTAAGTCTACGACTTGTTAAAAGTATTAGGCCCCATTTTTTAACTGTGTAATTTTTTTATAATGCTAAGAGTTATTACATTATTTCTTTAGATTTAAACTAAATTACATGAGAAATTACACTGCATTACAGCATAATTAAAAATAAGATGTATGCCAAATGGTAGATAACTAATTTAACATTAAATTATTTTTTTAAACTATTCATTATTTAATTTATTACAACCATTTAGTAGTACTAGCCTAGGATTAGATAGTCTTAATAAATATCTCACAAAATGCATAGGCCCAATTCTAATACTAATAGTAATAGTAATATGCAGGTTTTATAATATTATATTATAAATTATAGCTTATTCAGTAAGACTAAAGACAAGAAGCTGCTATTTTAATTAGAATAATGATAGCCAAGTCATATGATGATATAATGGTGTAACTATAACTATACTTGTGACATTAAATTTAAATGTGTCTAAATTGTGTGACAATTTGATTTGTGATAAACTGGGATTGGGGGGGGGGGGGCCGCAAAAATCAGTCAAATTAGCATGAAGCCTTTACTTTTATCATGGATAGCCTCCAAGTTGAATTTAGAAGGCCAAAAAGTCAAGTGAAGTGAAAGTAAAAATGACTCTAACTTAGTCTAAATTATTGACTTATTATTAAAGCCACTCGAGTCACTAGAATTAAATAAAATGAATGCATATGCATTACTTACTAATCAATGACAGTTTACATGAACCCTTAGCTTAGCCTTAGCTGTTAGCCTTAATAGCCTTAATAAATTAATAAATAATAGTAGCCTTAATAAACGTAATAAATAATAATAATAGCATCAGTCATTAGTCCTTGGTCTTGGTATATAAGTAGCCTATAAGTATAAGTATAATACGTATAAGTCATGTAGCAAAGATTAATGATTATAGAATACAAATAATAGACAATAATAGTTAGTAATTTAATACGCCAATATAGTATAGGCATGGCATAGGTACATTATAGGCCAGCTGTGCCTGCAGTGCACAACTGACTAGTGCGGGCCAAAAGAATATAGGACAGGGGTAAAGCTATTAAGAAAATAATAAGAATAAAGAATATTTCGTTGCTTCTCGGGCCACAAAGTGGGTGCTGACGGGCCGTATGTTGCGCAGGCCTGGCATAGGCTATAAACCACGGACCACTGTCTATAACTATAGGCGTCATACCTAACCAACGCGGAAGACCACAGGACTAGGACCTTATTTATTCACAAACTACTGACTACTGCTATCTTCTCTTAAAAACTATTAGCCTGGACTTTCAATTACTATAACTATAACTAGGTCCTTAAAAATGCCTTTAAAAAATGGTTCAGAGCCTTAATCTCAATTTCAATTAGCCTACTTCACAATTACTAATAATTTAGTCATAATTAATTAATTATATGATAATGAGACTCCACAATAATTTCAGAAATCAGAAAGTAATCCGTTTTCTTAGTATATAAATTAAACTATGTATACCTCTTTCCTGAAATAATTGTGCACTTAAAATGCTGCCTACCGTGTTAATTAAAATAGTTTTTAGTAGATAATAAACATCACAGTCACGATCACTACATTCTTCTGTCACTAATCACTAAATGCCTAATTTGTTTTAGTTCTACTAAACAAGAAAGTGATGAAAATGAAATCAAGAACTAGGGGAAACCACTAAAAAAACATGAAACTATACAATGGAGAATTTAAAATACTATTTCTCTCCCCTTTTCTTGATTTTCATATTTTAATATTTTAATTTTACAACATAAAATACAATCTACATTTATAATAATAATATTTAATTTATGTAATATTCCATGCTTTATAAATCATTTATTATTTTCAGAGACTTATTTTGTGCTTTCAATTATTTTCATTAATTATATTCTATTTCTAAGCACGTCCTTAGACTTACTATTAAAATGTTCATTTATTAAGACTTTATTATTTTATACTGATGTTAATTAGTTTTATATTTTAAAAATAGTGAATACTTTATTGACAATAAAGTTATGCGTTAGACGCTTAGGCTTAGCAAATAAACAGTTGTCGTTTTCAACTTATTCAATATTAATTAACAGTTTCAACACAGACATTTCAATCAACGTTTCATTGCTTTTTGTTTTGTTTTCATACAAACTCTACAATAACAAACTGATTAAAAGCATGTTGATAGTGCGCTGTTGGCTGTTGATTTTTTTATTTTTTTTTAAATCTCTGGCCAATGACATCGCGTCCTGCACGACGCAACAAGTGATAAGGCTCTTAACTGCGCGTGTGCTGCATTTCCGTCATCTTTCATAGCAGCACGGCGCATACACACGAAACCACTTGGTCAAATCTGGTATGTGTATGCAGTCACTAATGATCTAGGTGAGTAAACAAGTGTGTGTGCCTTTTTTTTTAATGTGGTAAAAAACTAATGCTGGTTTGCTGTTAGAAGTGTATCTCTGCAATTTTTCTAACAGTTGGCCTATAGTCTACATTTACATTGAAGGATTTTTTATATATAGCCTATACATTTTTTAAAAAAATAATAATAGAGTCGAAACGCGTTGTTTACTTTTAGTTGTGCAGCATTAAATAAGATAAATATAAGTATTAAAAGGGTATAAGTATAAGGTTTTAGAACAAAGAAATTCAGAACAAAATGGATTTTGCTCACACAAAGCGTAGGCCTATATATAATATTTAGTTTTTAGGTCATGAGTTGAGTAAGTTATAATTACCCGGTATAATTAGTTAGGGGAAGTATGAGTTTACATGTATAGCTAGATATTAAAAAATTTGTTAATTTTCAGCGTTATAGTTATTGCTCATAGCTTGGCTTTACCCGCATGCTTATGGTAGCCTGCAATGGGCCTTGTATTGACTTATGTGCACTTATTTTGAATTATCCCTGAAACGGCTAAAGAAAGTTAAGACCAATGAGTCGTGGTGGCGTGATGATTCGAGACCCCCTGCCAGTTTTCGTTCTTTTAACCACTGAATTTAAAGTTTAAAGTTTAATTTTGTTTCTACATCCCGATCTCATGTGTGGGCCCTTTCATTATCTGAGGCACCCCTGGCCACGCTGCGGCTCTGGAAGACCCGATTGCCATTAAACATTTCTTGTCCCCTTAAGTATCATCCA